ACACCCTGAAATTAATTCCAGAATATGAACTAAGCAGCTGATTGAAGAACCATATATTTTGCCTGTTCTAAGACTACACAAATTCTGAAACGTACAGTGTATAACTTCCAACAAAAGATAACAAAGTAAGCAAAGATGAACTGCTTCTCCTGTAAGGATTCCCCATGATATCCTCTAATTTCTAGGAATAAAAGCACTGCACTCTACCTGCTAAAGATGACTGAGAGCACTTAAACTTGCACAGCTAGCTTCCTAATGTATGCCATAACCCTTGCCTAAATGATTCTTTCGTTTCTCTTCTTCCTCTCCCCTTACATACATGATGGGTAAAGACCTGCTTGTTCACCAGCAGCACAACACACGGCAGCCAGCAGCTCTGTATTTGTGAGACATCTTTTGGGCTATAAAAGGCTGTGAATTCTGTGAAGCTGTTTCTTCTGAGCCTTTCAGAGAAAGCAGGCTTTTTCCAGAATTCTTGAGTCATGTTATATTTTGTCCACATGAAGAGGAAAAAAAGAGCACCCAAAGCTTCTGCCATGCCAGGGCAGTTTTCCCTGGGCCACCAAAGCAGTGCTAAGTACCATTTTAAAGGTCCAAATTCTGTTTCATTATTTCAGCCATCCCTTTGCCAGGGAAGGAACGGCTTCCTCTCTTCTTTCCCCTTGATTGCACTATTTCCCATCCTCAGAGATTCTTTCCTCCAAATTCTTAACATGCACGTTTTCCCCACAAATTGTAGAAGCTCTTGTCCACATGTCTGCCAGGAAAAAAAAAAGAAACAGGGGAGGGAAGGGGGGAATCTTTGTGCAACTTTTATCATCATTTTTCTCTGAGTTTCATCTAAACAACATTGCCTTCAATAAGGAACCCAGTAAAATAAAGACGTTATATTACTAGTTTTCTCGGCATACCTACATCCTCTTACGTATGGCTCCAGCACATATTGAAAAGCATTTTCAGGAAAGTCAGCAAGTTTTCAGTCCCTACAAATTTTGGGACCGTGAGAATCCCCACAAAAAGGTAAGAATTATGGGACCTTGCACAGGAGATACTGCCTAGCTAACCTTGCATTTCACGGTCACCCTTCAGCAAGCAGAAGTCATAGATGGAATTCAAGGGCTTGTAGGGTCAAAACTGCTATCCCAAAATAAGAAAAGCACTGAGTTGCTTTTGACCCCAATCAGGATACTTCTTTTGCTCTCCTTCAGTGCACCAGCTCTTGCACTGTAGGCTGGAGCTGCAGCCTACTTCAATATTTGCTCATGCTGGTTCTAACCACCAGCCATGTAACCGATGGTTTGTAAAGTACTCTTTGCAAAGAAAGAGATGACATCACATTTCTATTTTTATCTCTTGATCCCTCCTTCACAGAAAACTAGGCGAAAGGCTTGTTCTCCCAGGTTTCCTTGGAAAACCTTCCTGAACAGGCCAATAAGAACACACTGCTTTAAAAGGAATCACTGTGGGCAATGCTCTTGAGAACCAGAAATGCCAAACCACAAGATTGTACTGAGATACATTTTAAACAGCTTTAAGGGTATTGACAATCATAAAAGCATTAACCATTGAGGATCTGGGGCTACAGCTTTCATTTGAATGGGACAACTAAGTAGTCCTGCAGGTGCTCCAACACCACAATTTGGGCAGGCCACCAACTATACTGAGAGATGCTAAATGCAAACGGAAAGGAGGGCAACACAGCCCTCTTACGACCCTTTCCCCAGCGTAAAGTCGTGCCTCTGGATGCTTCTCCCCAAAGGAAACTCCATGCTGAAACCCTAGCAATTCGGTGCAAAACAAAGAGCTAGTTCTGAAAAAATTCACCAGGACAGCTAGCCGGTTCTTTCAGGAAAGCTTCTCAGCTTTCACTCAGGCTTCAGCCTGCCTCTCTTCTCCAGTGGGGATGAGAGGGATACCACTGGCAATGTAGGCTTATCTGATTCATAACCAAACCAACCATACCAACCATGACTTCATGCCATATGGCAGATAGGAAAAAAAAAAAAATTAGTCCTACTATATTGTACATTCTGTTGCACAAATATCTAGACACTGCCTTCCTCACAAAGAAATACAGTAGCCAATAAAAACAGAACAAGCTATCATTTCTAGGTGAGAAATTAAAATATATTAATATTCGCTTCAGATGCACAAAATTGTAAGTATGTAATTTTATGTTTTGTAATGTGTTAGCAAATAACAGTAGCTTCCTTTTCTGAAAGAAAACACCACCTTCTAGTAGGTGATACTTCCAGCTGTTAGATTATGTGTATTGCCATTCAAACTCTAATATTTCATTCCTTTATTTCTCTAATATTACTGATAAATTGAGAAAACAATTATATCATTACTGACAACTGTGGAAAACAAACCTTCCTGTAAAAAATGCTTTCAAAATGAATGCAGTCATATAGTCTGCAAAAAGCTTACAGACTTCAGTTTAAACCATCTATGTAATTTGCCCTCAGTTTTCTCATTAATCTTTATAGTAGGTGTAAAGATTATACGGGAAATAGTTGAAGGACTACCGTAACACTTCTTCAAAGCTTTAAGTATGTCTGGAAACAGATTCTGATTATGGTTCAAAGACACAGATATGACATCTTTGCATTCTTGCAGCAACGTCATAAACTTAAATGCTTGTCTTCATAAGCTCTAGAGTTTGCAAACTATGTGGGATGTTATTTGATTATCATCAGCTTGACCATATCCTCCAACTAGGCCAATCTCCAGTAGCCTCGTACAGAGGAAGAGCACGACAGGCGCACTATCTCCCAAAAGACACTGTATTATCAAAGTAACAACGGACTCTCACACAAGGCCAGAACCATTGAAAAGATATTCTAGATCAGATCCAGAAGTTAATCTTACATGACTTAACGGCTACCACAAACCTATATCAAGAAGCTGGGAAAATCGCACCCAGGAGAAACCCTAAAATCAATGTATTTTCCCAAAATACATTGAGAATAGTGGAGAGATTTTTCCTTTTTCTGTAAATTCACAAAGGAATGGTATGCCCATAGAAATTCACTGTCATTATAAAATTTGCAATGACCAAGTGCTGTCTGAGACTATGAAGTGCTTAAGCTTAAAGATCAGAGAGTTAGCTGTAGCATCAACATGTGCATCTGAGGACTCAGAAGAAGATGGTATGTTGCAGTACTGAGTGACTATGCACAGTATTGCACAGAATTACAGAACACAGGGAAAATGGTACGGAGCATGGAAACAAAGGGAAAAGGCCAGGGGCTGAGGAAAGAAAAAAGGAGCAATGGAGTGACTAGGCTGCACACTAGGTTCAATCTGAAAGGTAAGTAGAGCTAGGTCAGACAGAATTAAAAGCAGACAGACTTTGTAGCAGCAGAAAAAAGCATGTTCAGGATACTGCTACCAGCAGCCTTTCACAGCAAGAGACTAAGAAAAGAAGATGGGTCTACAGCAGCTTGATCCATCCAAAGATCTCTTTAGTGAAAACAGACTGGGCTGCAGATCTTGTTCAAAACAGAAAAAAAACCCAAAACTTCTTTTGAAACAACCTAGCTTTTTTCTGCAATTTAGCAATCACAAACTTGGAATTGGGCTTGGAAGGCCCACAACAAACAATTCCTAATCCACTGCCAAACAAACTCTTTCTTTATATGGTTTCACTGTGAGTATTGCCCGAGTTGACGCTTCAGGATAGAGTCCTCTTCATACGCTGTCAGAAACGGCACCTACAAGTCAGCATACACATACTTAAGCCAGTTTACTCTTTACCAGACTCCCAACCTGTCTATCAAACAAAGCATTCACTCAGACATGTATAATATTTCCCTCACCATGCCATTTGTCCTATCCAAGAACACAACTAAATATTCCTTATCACATCCAGGTAAGGATGCATTAATATAATGTTTTTTTGTTTGTTTGTTTGTTTTTATCCTTGGCACTATTATTTATGCTTGCTATCATTCATAATAGAAAGCCAAACAGCACTACAGTTGAGCATCAGAAAAATACTGGCAAGAACAGAATGCAGTTTACTGTAAAGTACTGTTAAAAACATTAAAATACAGAATGGATTTGAGTTGTTCAGCATGTTTCAATACTGAATAACATTCATTGCTAATTAATCAGTCTGCCAAATTAATCCAAACAGTAAGATCTCTTCCAGCATGCTCTTACTGAATCTCTGCATTACTGGAAAAATGTAAGAAAACTTTGTGTGCTATGCAGTTTCTAAATAAGAAACCATAATAAGATGACCAAGGTAACAGGGGCTTTGCTATCAGCTGAATGAACATTGCTTTTGCTCTAAGAAACGTAGAAATAATGTCAGCAAGCCATTAAGAATAACCTGATTTTGAATTTGAGAATACATGGTGGCGGTTTAAATATCAGTAGCGTTTTACTTCTTAACCTTTGCTATGAGGCAACTGGTATTTCAAATTAATACAGTAATACAAAAATAGATAGAACCATCTTTATAGCGGAATATTTTCTGTTCTTTTCCAAGGGTAAAGCTTAGCAGTAAGACTAAAATCATTTTTCCGGAAACAGCTGTAACATACCTACATCACGCAGATTAATGAAATATGTTTCACGAATACAGTCTTGCATAACTGAGTTTTAATGAGTTGATGGATCAATTCCTCTTCTCTACTAATAGCTGTCTACATAGGCTACACCAGAGTCTTAAAATTAGCAACCAAAGAGAACTACACATGAACCGGACCAGCAATTTTTTTAGTTTGAAAATATACCAGATGTCCTGTGGGTGTTTTGCCCCTTCATTTTGGAAGAGGACAGCTGGTTACCGGAGAATCTGTTACAGCCTTCTATAATTACAGATGTTCTTTTCTTTCTTTAAAAATAATTTAAAAGCTTTTCACAACCAAGGTTCCAGCAAAAGATTTTCATATGAATGGAATGAAGCTCTTACTTTAGATAATGACTTACTCATCTCTGGGAGTCACTAAGAACAACTAAAAAGAGGTAAATATTTATTTACTACTGACCTGGTATAAGCTGAGGTGCCAACACCACTGTGGGAAGAGGCCTTGAGGCAGTAGCTGGTCTAGCTATAGCCATAGCTACTTGATTTGTCATTAATAGAGGTTTCTCACTTCCCTGGAAGATTCTTGATTCCTCAGGGTGTATCCATGCTGAATCCAGAGCAAATGCATTATTTAAATATATCTGCCCAATGGAAATAAATAAAATAATGTTAAGGATGAAGATAATTTGTTCATATTTTTATTTCTCTGAGGTTTTCTATCTTTGACTCAATATTATGATGTGGAGAGTATCTCAACTCAGGGACAAACTCACAAAAATAGATTGATTTATGCTCCATAAGTGTTGTAGGCAGTGGTTAGCTGATCTGTTCTAAACCGACAGGCTCTTAACATGACTAATCAGCTTACAGAGCATTGCAAAAAGAAAATAACAGATCATGCCAGCTGTGCCTCAGATATAGCTACTCTAGAACAAGCACAGCTGCAGCAGGGCAAGTTCAGTATTTTTCTAAATTGGAGGGACAGGGGATGAAGAGGGGGGAAAATGGGATAAAATAACAAAATCTAACTTTAATTATTTAATTAAATTTACACATGCACATAACTACAGGCAAAGTTAAGGCCCAAGCTGGTGAAAGTGAAATTCTGGCCCCCACGAAACTGGCAAAACTCCCAGTGATGTCACTGGCACCAGCATTTCATCCACTATATCCCTTCTTTGAGAAAAAAGCAGCACAAGTGTTGAGAATAGAAGGAAAAGCGAAAGCTCTCAAAATCACATTCTGTGGTTATAATAAAACATTTTACTTAAAATAATATAGATTAAAATATCTTTAATGTTTATCTTTTCAGAACTTCAGAAAACTGAAGATCTGTAACTACTGGAACAGCCTTGCTCCTTAATCGTTCCTTACAGCATTCCTTCGCAACAGGACTACTGACCTTTTGCATGCCTCCACAATTCACAAAACTCGTAATATTTTTCAGCTTTTAGAGCACACATTAGCCTTAAAAATACCTCAACACAGAGATCAGACTTACTTTGCAATTCGGGAGCCTTTTATCTATCCAACTTTTCCCAGGGTGAGGAGGAACAGCAGATGTGTATGCAGGTGGAAACATAGGAACAAATTCCACGCTAGAAGAAGGTGAAAATCCTACGACTGGGGAATGAGCTCCAAATATCCACTTAAGAAAGCAAGAAAGAAAAAAAAAAAAGGAAAAGACATTAACAAAGTCATTTTACACTGTATAAATCAATGTTTCTCATAATTTCCTAATTACAAAAAAAGAGGAGCATGCAAAATGCCAAAGGCGTCTCTTCGGTCCAGCAAGCGTTATTTTTGTTTTGTTAGGCAGGAGAGGGTGAGCATCGTGCACGGGACTGGCACCACAAACTGCTTCAGAAAGCCATCAACCAACAGCCTAGCAGTTAAAGGGCGCCTGGTTAATGCTCATCCGTGACGCCTGGCTTCTCCCTGCTCAAACAAAACCTCACACTCCAAGCAGAAAAGCGTCCACAGAAAGCGCTTTTAGAATTTGTCCCCAGACGCAAAGGGGAACCAAAAGAAAATCAGGCCGCGGGCCCGCGGGAGAGCAGGGCCAGCGGCCGCACCGACGAATAACTGGGATATCCAGCAGCCGCAAAAAAAT